CCGCATGGGCATACACAAAGTCCTACTCCGCATCAAAGGTTACCCATTGATAAACAGCTGTTCAAGGCCATATTGGACTTGCTAGATGCAACCACTTTTGAACCTATCACCAATACCGTCATTAAAGCTACAATCTACCTGGCCTTTTTTGGGTTCCTTAGACGACACAAATTTACCATCCATAGCAAAAATTACTCCCATGAATGCCTCAAACGCTCCTACTTGGTTAGACATCACGATCATTATGTACAGTCACTACCCGGTACCAAGACTAGTCAGCTGGGACAACTGGTTCGGATCACATATTACCCTACGCAAAACAGATGGTGCCCAGTGAAGGTTTTGGAGGCTTATTTCCTCACCCTACCTACACCATCAGACACACCTTTGCTGTCATTTCATGGGGCAGTCCTAACTACCTCAAAGTTTATGTTGTACGTACGATTGTTACTTTAAATCCTAGTAGATATTCAGGACACTAGTTCAGGAGAGGGGCCACATCTACGGCCTCCAGTCAGGACATACCAGTCCATGTTATGACCGACTTTGTCCTATAATATGTTGCATCAACATATCGATGGTTGCACCAAACACAAATGTTAAGACTTTGCCTGGAGTTGTGGGAGGGGCATATGGACATATATAAGGGACTCCCCCCGGCTTACCTAACCGTCATTGGTCTGGTGATATGCATGCCCCTCCCTCCACACCTTTTATTCATGATACTCTATTTGAGGGGGCCCACTTTATTTACCGGCACACTTCAACCGACTGTCGTAAAACATGTTGCGTCACTACACAACTTTGCATCAACATATTGATGGTTGCAACGAACACACACATATATATATATATATATATATATATATATATATTATTATTTTTTTTTATATACATTAACATCTCATCTACTGATTTTCATTTTTTAAATGCTTAATTTCCTGGAAGTATTTCAACAAGCTTACACTGTTTATTTCAGCAGATTGTGCTTTCGGAATATACAGCTTGTTTTTGGTTAGCCCCTTACATATGTATATTTTACATTTTAATACAATGGGGAGGGATAATGCTATTCACTTCACAGTGCTTTGTACCAGAGTTCCAGTTACTACAGATCCAGCGCAGAAAAGTCCTGGTCAGGAATAGAGCTTTGCTACAATATATATATATATATATATATATGTGTTCATCCATAGCTCCCACATAGAAGATCAATAAGATCAATAACAGATCAATAGAAGCTGAAGTCTACCACACCCGGCAAGACCCAAGGTGCAGAATGTGCAAAGAGGCCTCTGAGACAGTCCCGCACCTAGTAGCTGGATGCAAGATGTTAGCAGGAACAGCACACACAGAGAGACACAACCAAGTTGCTGGGATTGTGTACCGAAACATCTGCACAGAATATGGATTGGACCTGCCTAAGTCCAGATGGGAGATACCACAAAGGGTAGTTGTGAATGACAGGGCTAAGATCCTGTGGAACTTCAAGATCCAGACAGACAAGCAAGTGCTGGCCAACCAACCCGACATTGTGGTGGTAGACAAGAAATGGAAGACTGCAGTTGTGGTGGATGTGGCAATACCCAGTGACTATAACATCAGGAAGAAGGAACATGAGAAGGTGGAGAAAAACCAAGGACTGAAAGAAGAACTAGAAAGGATGTGGAAAGTGAAGGCAGTAGTACTTCCAGTTGTGATAGGAGCACTCAGGGCTGTGACTCCCAAGTTGGGGGAGTGGCTTCAAAAGATTGCAGGTGGGACATCTGAGATCGTTGTCCAGAAGAGTGCAATTCTAACAACTAAGATACTGCGTAGAACCCTCAAACTTCCAGGCCTCTGGTAGAGGACCCAAGAATGAGGAATAAACTTACCGTATTTTTTTAGCTCCATGCTCCTGCCGGTCACCTAGACAGTTATGGCGCCCCAGAGCCGGTGTGCCCTGCACACATTCACTCCATAAGACGCACAGACATTTCCCCTTACTTTTATACGGTACCACCCAGGAGGGGTGAGAAAATCTATTTTAATATGTGTGTGTGTATGTATGTATGTATATATATATATATATATATATATATATATATATATATACATACACATAAAAATATAAATTATTAAATTTATTTAGTTATTAAAGAGTTTATCCAATCTTTTTTGTTTTTGACAGAATAATGCTCTATTGGCATTATTCTATCAGGCCACCAAAGAGAAACAGAGCGCTATTAAATAAAGTTTTACTTTCCTTAATCCAGCACTGGGCAAAGCTCATAGAGAAGCCTTTGATTGGAGGATTTAACAGGCTCAGAGCATATGCCACTCACTCTCAGCCTGCAAGGGGAGAGAAAAAAGGGAGGGAGGGTAAGAGAAAGAGGGAAAGTAGAGTTGGAAAATAAACATAGTGAAGGAATAGGGAGATGAGGAGGTGTACAATCAGTATGGGAGGGAGGGAAGACAACAGCTTCCTCTGAAAATGAGAATCAGTTATGTCTGTAGACAGGGCCGGTGCAAGGATTTTTGCCGCCCTAGGCAAAAGTAAAGTTTGCCGCCCCCCCACCCATATGATCTGCCATGTTAACTAACACCAGTGCTGCAGTGCCGCCGTGTTTACATTAAAAGGCCTGCAGGGACAGGCTATGGGCACCAGAACCACTACATTAAGCTGAAGTGGTTCTGGGGACTAGAGATTAGTGCCACGAATAATATACCAGATTGCCTACTTACAACCAGATGAGGATGATGATGGGCTCTAGCTGCAGTCTGGCTCCACTGGTCTGGTGTAGAACAGGCTCCCTGGAGGCTGTTTGTAACTGCGGTCACAAAAATGTTCTGGGAGAATGGGAAGCAGCTCCATTTTTGTAAGGCCCTTTACACAGCTCAAGGTCTGGGTCCCAGGGTCCACTTTCATGTTCCACCAATGAGTTTGTTCACAGGGGGTGGAGTAGGGGGATGTCCGGATATGTGTGTAAGGAATGCATTGTGTGAATCTGTGTTTGTATGTGTAAGGGCTGCAAGGTGTGTTTCTGTGTATGTACGGGATGCATTGAGTGTGTACATCTTTAAGGTGCATTGAGTGTGTGTAAGGAATGCATTGTGTATTTCTGTGTGTGTAAGGGATGCATTGTGTGTAAGGGTTGCATTGCTTGTGTGTGTAATGCATTGGGTGTTTTTCTGTGTGCAAGGGGTGCATTGTCTTTGTGTGTAAGGGGTGCATTGTGTGTGTGTGTGTGATGGATGTCAATCTCTTCTCCCCCCTCTCCCTCCATTGTCCCTCTCTTCTCCCCCCCTCCCTTGTCACTCTCTTCTCCCCTGTTGTCACTCTCTTCTCCCCTCCCCACTCTCATTCCCCCATCAATTCCCCTTCCCTGTCAATTTCCCCCACTGTCAATTCCCCCCTGTCCCCCCCCTGTCAATTCCGCCCTCCTGTCCATTCCCCCCTGTCCTGTCCATTTCCCCCCTCCCTGTCCATCCCCCCCCTCCCCTGTCCATCCCCCCCGTCCATTTCCCCCCATGTCAATTTCTCCCCCTACCTCCCTGTAGCGGGCCGAGCCCAGTATGGTCCGCAGGTACAGGGAGCTTTTGTTTCCTGTACCCGGCCGGACTAACAGGAAGTGCACACTTAGTGCAAAATAAACAGGACTTACACAAAACATGGAAAGTAGTTATGTGGCAACTCTCAGATAGTTTTTTACAATAGTCCAAATGAAGAGTTCATCTGAATAATGGATTATTTTTCAATACATTGACAGTGTCCGTTTATCAGAGTGAATCTGTTCCATTTCGACAAACATTTTTCACACTGTATTTTTCAACACAGACTATTCTTTTAAATCAGGTGGTCCTTGTTTTGCGACCTACCTGCTTACGATGGCTTGCACTTACGACCAGCTCTCTCGCGGGGGGGTAAGTGCGAGCCGTTGTGGGAATTAGAGGGATTCCCTGCTCTGCTTCCCCGAACATAGATTAGAGGGATTCCCTGCACTGTTGCGTTCGTCTATGTTCAGGGACATTTCCCCGAAAATGGAAAAACGCAGCAGAGCAGGGAATCCCTTAACTCCTCACTTACCGACCAATTCATTCTACGACCAGGTCGTAGGAACGGAGCCCGGTCGGTAAGTGAGGAGTGTCTGTATTCTTCTCTTTCTGATAAGAAATCTCTGACTCTCCTCACGTAAACACATGTGATCTGAACGTATTAAGCATGGTAGTCTAGAGGTCGTGGCAGACAAGCCCCCTGTACCAGCTTGCCAGACAGGCACTCGCACTAAGATTAGCACATTAAATTCAATAATACAAACATATTTTCAAACTTTTACATTTGTTTTATCTTTCAGCACTTATTATCCTCTCCCTATATTCTTTTCTTTACATTACTATGTTTAAAACAAAACAAAAAACAAAAAAAAGCGTCGCAGAATCTCCCAAAAATTTTAGATAATTGGTGTTAAATCTGCAGCTGCTCTGTAGTTATCTATTATTATCTGCGTTTGTATAGCGCCAACATATTCCATAGCGCTTTACAATACTATAAGGGGGGAGATTTAACAATAAATGAGACAATTACAAAACTTACAGGAACAATAGGTTGAACAGAACTCTGCTCAAACCAGCTTACAGTCTAAAGGAGAAACATAAATCTGTATAGTAAACTAAAACCTGTACCACACTTTGTTTTATTTCTGCATTACTGTAGCTTACACAGAGTAATTACTAGTTATTCTTTCAATTCACAAATCTTGTAACTAGAAATGGTCTCCCATTATAAATAAAGAAGCTCATTCAGAATCTGCCCCCCAAGCAGTGGCTCAAAAAGAAAGTGAAACCAACAAGGACATATTATTATTACTAGTATTTATGAAATGACAACATATTCCACAGCACTGTACAATCGGGAAAAATAGACAGTACAAAAAAAAACCAATACAGAAGGAATAGAGGATTCTCCCTGTAACATAGATCTAACATTTACAGTCATGTATACAAAGTATTAAGTTACATGGCTTGTGGTTATGGTAAACACCCACCATTCTATTAGGATTAACATGCCATATATTTGGTAACAATACAACTTTCTAAGCTGTAATTACAGCATCATCAAACCTCCAGGGAGATGATCCAGCATGATCCAGGATCATTTTACAGATAAGATACCAGGCATTCGTTGTCAACTCTCTATGAGGCAGGACTAATTTACCCAAAGTCAACTGGAGACATTCTGTTGAAATTATTTTTTTGTCCCATTGACAAAAGTAGAGAAAATAAAACTTGAACGAATTATCATGTCAATACGTCACTTCAACTTGCAGTTGCTACCAGGTTAGGCATCAGTTGTATTCCACGTCAAACTCAAATATATATGAATAAATGAGGAAAAAGAGAATAACATGTTATAGTGCGACCCTGGAGATACCTCCCCAGTGCACTGAGCACCATTGTTGCTGTCTATACCTGCTCCTACCATCTTCCACTTGTTTAATTTGATCTTAGATAAACACATCTATAGATTATTCTCATCACGACTGTGTGCCTCTTTCATCATCTCCTGTGGTGTCCTGCACTTCTTGTGGAGAACTTACTATTTCATCTTACATGAAGACTGACCACCGTATCCATTACAGAGTGTTATATAAAGAGCCAATGGTGGGCTCTAAAATCCATAAATTATCTGCACACTTCATTGAAGCCGTTATTTACCCAATGTATACACACACACACACACACAATCTTAATACAATGGGTAGACAACGCTCCAATTAAGTTTTTCCTTTTTTTTCTCGTCTCTCTTTATTTACACTGTTTAAATGTCCAGATTGCACTATATGTTTTCTCTTTTTTGTTTTCCACGTGTATTTATGTACATTTGAGTTTGACGAGGAAATACCAGTTTATTACTCGATTGATAAGTATACACATTGTTTTCATACTGTTTTGCACACCCTCCACTTTCTTTTTTTTGTATTATGTTGCATTGATTGGTTGTACCTGTTTTTTGCAGCTTCTATTATGTGTTATATTGTTAGTATAGCATTGCAATTTTACTATAATAATTTACGTTTTTAAACAGTTCTAAATTTTGTTCCTCCTGTGATGAATGAAATTGTTGACAAGTGCTTAGTTAAATGTCATGTAAATCTTGGACTGTGTGGTGTTCATTGACGATGCCGTAAAATTATTTTTTGTGTGTATATGTATTAATGCATAATCTTTTAAATTAATGTTAAAAAAAAATAAAAAAATAAAATAAAAAAATCGGGGTTACTTCTAAACTGGATAGTCCCGCATATAAACTCATTTTATTTTATAATAAGTCTTCCATCACAACATCAGTATCTTAATATGCCAATTCTTTAATACAAGGCTTTACATTCTGAGTAATAAAAATATAGCACTCCTTCTCCCTTATTCTTTCCTGTACCTCCTAAAAATTTATAACCATGTAGATTAATTGCCAGCCAGGTATTTCATCCCAAATATTCTACCGTTAATGAGTTTGCCCTGTCGTCTCATGGTTGGATTCAACAGACCATGAGTTAATGTTATATTCAAAAAACTGTATAATATAAATTAAGGGTTTAAGTAAATTGGCCATAAACGAGAACCAGTAACAGTTTCAACGTGGAAGAAAAGCAAAAGAAAATCATTAAAACATAAATAATCCCACATAAAACGTGGACATTTTCCCTCCTTCATAGCTCTGTCCTCGTTCACAAGCCAGCCCATTAATAACGGCTGCTTCTCTATGGAAAGTGGGCCGTAACAAGATTAATAGATCTCAGAAACTAGAAGGACGTTATCATTTTGCTAAAGAAAATTAAAAAATGAGCATCGTTTGCTGTTTTTTCTATGTCATGTATTGAACCTGCACATGGTACTGCTTACAAGATATATTGATGTGACTATTAGGGCAATGTCAAATTAGCATATGTTAAGAATTATAAAACTTTAGAAGCATCTGTAACATTTTATAATCCACCATCCTGACTCGGAGCTGTTCACGTTTCAGTGATTTTGTTTTATACTATAATACAAGAAAAATATAGTGCATTTTACAGTGAAGGCTGTTAAACCAAAGCCTGTAGATTATTTTTCTCATTTATCTAATTGAATACAGCTTTTTAAGAAAAAGGCAAGGGTAATAGTGGGTAAAATGTACTGCAAGAGCTAGAGATTAAAATTGAAGGGACTCTGTCGGTTAACATATGAAACAACGCGTTTTGGAAGGCTCTTAATTTGTGCTCACAAAATTGCTAGATAAAGAGTTCTTTAGCATTGAATGAAATTAACACTACACTTTTTTCAGCTCTGCAAGGAGGAGAGTGTGACCTGCTCTCTGGTAGCAAACTACCAATATGACATCTACTCTGCATGCAGTCTTTGTGTATTAGGAGTTCTCACATTTGTTGTGGCAGCCATACTGAAGAGCAAACGTGCTCTCCAGGTATCATGTTTATTGTTTGCTAGATAGTAATATATGTACCTGCCAAAAACTGACCTTGTCATGCATAGACTTTGCATACCTCCCAAGTGTCCCTGTTTAGAAAGGGCAGTCCGTATTTTGGGCCCAAATTCCTTTCATCTTTTATGTTATAAAGATACTGTTCTTTTCTAAACTAAACAGATTTAAGTTTGTTAACCTTTCTAAATAACTAAAATATTTAATTACTTTTAATAATTATAATCCTTCTTCAGAACAAGTGCCCAAAATTTCTCAGCATATTCAATGTGTGGTCTTACCACTGATTTATAAAGAGACAAATGTATATTTTTATCCTGAGAATTAACGCCTCTTTTTATGTATAACAATCCCTTACTGGCCTAGACATTGCAAATTGTTGCCTAGTTTATTGCCTATAACAATTCCCAAATCCTTCTCATGTGTTATTCCTAATTCACGAACGTTCAAGGTGTAAGTTGCTTGTACATTAAGTACCATGAACTGCATAACTTTGTATTTATCTACATTAGCTTTCATCTTTGTAGTGAAGTATTATTCTGCTCATATTATATTCCTTTATAGAGCTTTGTGTTTATGTTGAATAGAAGTGGCTCCAGAACAGAACCTTGAGGGACACCACTCGCCACTATTGTCCAGGAACACTATAGTATAGAAAAGTCTCTGTACTCTATTTTTAAGTCAAAGTTCTATCTAAGAACAGGAATTTTCATCTAGACCAATTTCTTTTAGTTTGAACACTAACCTATTGTGTGGAACCATATTGAATGCCCTGACAAAATCCAAATAGATCACATCTTCTGCAACACCATGATCTATACGTCTACTTATTTCTTTGTAGAAAGCAATTGGGTTAGTTTTACATTATCAGTGTTTCATAAAACCATGCAAATGTTTGCCAATAATAATGTTCCCATTGAATTTCTGAAAGTATCCTTCAATATATAATATTTTCCCAGGTAAATATTTTGAATGCTTTTTGAATATAGGAACCTCATCTGTCTTTCAATTCTCTGGTACATTTTCTTACAGAAACGAATCCTGAAATATTATAAACAAAGTTTCGCTTATTTCCACACTTAACTCCTTAAGTACTCGTGGGTGAATACCATCAGGCCTTGGGGCTTTGTTTATATTCAATTTTTTTAGTTGCTTTAGCAATCGAATTACATTTTTTCTTCAAGTTTTTTTGCTGAAATTATTTGAATATTTCTTTCCAAAAGTTCCTCCTTGATATACATTGGGGGGGAAATAGTTATTTTCTGACTTTTCCTGATCATCATTAACTAACACACCAATCTCTGATTTCAATGTACATACACTCATTTATTTTATAATTTGTATTTAAATAATATTTTTGGCTCGTTTGCTATCACTTTTTTATTTTCTAGTTTAACCCCTTTAATCGCCTTTTTGCATGCATTATTGGCTCCCTTATTTCTTATACAGGATGCCTCTCGTTTGTCTGATTTAAATGCACTTTTATTATTTTTCATTTCTTAACTTACCATCGCACTAAGACATACTGGTTTCAATATGTATCTTTTATATTTATTACCCAATTGTACATGCTGAGAAGTGCTTCTACAAATTCTCCCATGAAGGTATCATTGAACAGGCTCAAAAATCTGATTCCCCTTACTGAACTAGGAGTACCTCTTTCACAATTTATGTCTTATGTCCAATAGTTAAAGTGTTACAAATGTGCAACTCTCAGACTCTGCTCTTACAGCCATTCTTCCTCATCAATATCAACATTAGGTGCTTTAAATATATCATAACCAGATTTCCCTTATTTTGCCCCAAGCAGATAAAGCTTCCCATAAAGCTTCCACATTTCTCCTTGTCCCATTCCACTTTCTTAATATTTTGCATAAATTTTATATATGACACCAATAAAATTAAAGTGTACCTCTTTGTCCATTTGAATTGTTGTGAGATATGACTTTGTAGATGCATAATACTAATAGGTGCCTGTGTTAAGAAGCCAAAAATAAAAATGTATAAGTTACTCACTGATACAAAAACCAAACAAAAAAATCCCAACCAAAAACAAATAAGCAAAAACCAGAAGGTTACATAGTTACATAGCTGAAAAGAGACATGTTAATGTAACACTCCAAGCACCGTAACTAGTACAGCATGCTGTAGTAGTTATAATGAATGGAGTGCCCTCATTTTTAACTGGTCAAACCAGTTTCCTGCCTCCAATACGTCTGACAAAGAGCTGGAAGCTCATAAGCAGGAGCTTCTATTAGCTCTTCTGAGCTAAGCCTTGCAGTAACTTTTTTTATGAATGAGAAGCAACTGATTGGCTTAGAGCATCAGCTCATAATCAATCAGCGGTGCTCCAACTTGGAAGCACTTCATGCTTAAACTGAATTGAAGACATTGGATACCGCTAGGGACAGGGGGATCCAGCGCTGGAGAGCAACCTTTGTGGTTAAGCCATTGGTGAGCGGTATAACCCCTTCGGGTAAGAAAGCGCCAGGAGGCTCATGGCACCATGACAACTTAAAGGTCCACTCAGGGCAGCTAAAGATGTTAAAGGGAAACTATAGTGCCAGGAAAACAAGCAATTTTCCTGGCACTATGGCTTCTCCCTTTGTAAAGAGTTCTTTAGCATTGAATGAAATTAACACTACACTTTTTTCAGCTCTGCAAGGAGGTTATTTACTCCTGCGTGGTGCAGGAGTAAATAACCCCTTCTGTCACTTACCTGGGTCCAGTGCTGATGTCCCCCACCCCCACC